CTCCTCCTCCTCCTCCTCCTCCTCCTCCTCCTCCTCCTCCTCGTTCGAGGAGCACGCTTGGCCCTCCCGGGCCAGGCCAGGCCCCCGGCCGAGGGGCCCGCGGCACCGCGGCTCAACCCTTCGGCCCCGCCAGGCCTCGGGGCCGACCCCCTGCAGTCAGCCCGCATGGTAAGGATGGGCAGCCTGCCCAAAGGCGCCCTTTTTGCCAATGCTTCGCGACCTTCACTGGCCAGCCTCGTGCGAAAAACGCCAGCCGGGCCCTGCGAGGTCCATGCACCCTTACCGCCGATCCTTATGATACTCAGGAGGGAAAGAAACACAGAGACACAATGAATCGTCGACTCCCTAGAAAATATGGGAAAACATGGGAAGGGGGGGAAGACAAAAACCCAGAAAATATGGGACAATATGGGGAATCCTGTTGTTTGTGTATATTTATTTGTGTGTCCCAGGGCCCCTTCAAATACGGGTTGACTGTAACTCTCCGAGCCGAGTCCAACCGTGTCCATGGCGCCAACATCGCAGTGCGGATTTTGTCCGAGAAACGATGGGGTGGGCCCAGAAGGGTCCTGGAGATTTTCGTTCCGGATTTCGAGGTGACTTTCGTGCGAATCGTTTTTTAATGATAGAAAAAGAGGAATGAAGACTAGAAATAATCCACGCGAAATTCACGTCGTGTTTCGTTCGCCGTTTCGGGCAACAATCCATGCAGAAATCCGCTGCAGCCCGTCTGCGAGGCCGGTGCAATGAACCGTGCTCACGCCGACAGCCAACGACCGAAGGGGGAGGATGAGGAGGAGGAGGAGGAGGAGGAGGAGGAGGAGGAGGAGGAGGAGGAGGAGGAGGAGGAGGAGGAGAGGAGGAGGAGGGAGGAGGAGGAGGGGAGGAGGAGGAGGCGGAGGAAGGAGGCGGAGAATGAGGAGGAGTCAGGGAATGGAGGGCAGAGGCAGGAGGAGGCGGGGGAGGGGGGCGGGCGGAGAGAGGAGAGGCCGGAGGAGGCGGAGGAGGAGGAGGCCGAGGCGGAGGGCGCGTTGTCGTCGTCTCCGTCTCCGTCTTCGCCTTCGTCCTGTTCGTCGTCGTCGTCGTCGTCGTCGTCGAGGCGGCGGCGCCCCGTCGCGCCCGCGGCGGCGCCCCGCCCGCGGCCGCCCCCGCGCCCCCTCGCCGCCAGGGGCCCCGCGCGGAGGCCGTGGATGCAGGCCAGGGCGCGGCGCCGCCGCCGTCGCGGCCGGCCACCGCCGTCGCCGCCCAGACCCGGAGATCCAACGCTCAAGCAGTGGCGAAGCGTCCTGGCTCGCCTATAGCCTCACCAAACAATTCAGAGCCCCGAATCATCAGGGGTAACTCGGGTCAGGGCTAACTCGGGTTCGCTTTTCGGGAATCCGAACCCGACTTACCCTGGACCCGAGTTACCCCGGATAACTCGGGCGTCCAGAGCCCCGAATCATCAGGGGTAACTCGGGTCAGGGCTAACTCGGGTTCCTATTTCGGGAATCCAAACCCGAGTTACCCCGGACCCGAGTTACCCCGGATAACTCGGGCGCCCAAACAATGTTCTCAGAACCTTGTGTGTTCTGCACGAAATGTAGAGTTCTGGCCGGGACTGTCTTGGTTTAACACATCGGGTGAACGTTCTAAGAACATTGTTTTTGTTTTTCGAACATTTTGGGGTTCTAAGAACGTCTCGTGGTAGGACTATAGAAATGCCGGGACGGTTGGTCCCTGCTCAAAATGCATTGGTTTCGCTTTTTTCTGCCTCGAGGGGCCCTCGCCGGGCCCCGGGGCCGTCAAGGATCGACGCGGGACGAGGGACCGGTCTTGGGGAGCGGGTCGAGAGAGACTTCCGGGGGGCCCGTATTGAAAAAGTCACGACGCCGGATCGCTGGACACGACGGCGCAAGAGTCAAACAGTGACGAAGCGTCCCGGCGTGCCTGTAGTCTTACCAGACAATTTTGTAAGAGCCTTTTGTGGTTTCCACGGAGTGTTCTCAGAACATTTCTGGCGGAGGTTGTTTTGTTTTATGGCATCGGGTTTATGTTCTAAGAGCATTGCTGGGTTATTGAGAAAATTTCGTGGTAGGACTATAGAAATGCCAGGACGGTCGGTCCCTGTTCACAAGACGGCTCAAGAGAGCCCCAGGCCTCGGATCACCGAGCGCGCTCCATTACTCTCAAAGTGCCTACTCGCAAGCGTCCGAAACGCACATGTTTGCACCGATAAAGCGTGCCTGCTCGCAAGCGTCCGAGAACACACATGTCTGCACCGATGCAATGGATCAAACATCCTCCACGCAGGATCCAGGCCATTTGCGAGCAGTCACCTTACGAGCCGTGGGACGTGCTTGCCTATCAGAGGAAGAACAGGAACCAGCACCGCTGCCCTTGCTTCTGTCTCGCCTTTTCGGACCTCCTGGGAGCCCCTCGTTGCCACCGCTGGATTCGCTTCGAAAGTCGGATCAGAACGCACCCCCCGAGAGGTCCCAGGGGTGGCCTCATCGATCCCCCTTGTTCCCCAAGCCGGCGCTCGAGGGCCCCAAGACGGCCCAAGAGTGCCCTGAGGGACCCCCAAGACTGCCTCACAGGAGGCCAGGACAGCGCAAGAGGGACAAAGTGAGTTGCATCATCGTCGTCGTCGTCGTCGTCATCGGTGCTGTCGTCGGCGCCGTCGTCGTCGCCGTCGTCGTCGTCGTCGCCGTCGCCGTCGCCGTCGCCGTCGTCGGTCGTCGCCATCACCTTCGCCGTCGCCGTCGCCGCTGCGAACCTCTTCTGATTGACCCGATTGCCCTGAGGAGGGGACTCGGGAGGGAACGCGCGCTCACGCTGCCCGCATCCCAGCCCGCCCAGCACCTGCCTCGCGTGCGCAAGATGAACACTTCCGAGGCGGGAATCGGAGCCTCGGCAGGCGGTGGACATGGACATATTCGGGCCCCCGGGGCCGATATATATATATATATATATATATATATATATCCACCGCCCGCTGGGGCACCAGGACGTCGGTTCCCAGGCGGTGGATCTGGATAAATCCCCGCCTCGCAAGTTTCTCCTCTCCTCCTCCTCCTTTCCCTCTTCCGCCTCCTCCTCCTTTTCCCCCTCCTCCTCCTCCTCCTCCTCCTCCTCCTCCTCTTCCTCTTCTTCTCATCCTCGTCCTCCTCTCCTGCCTATGGTAGTGGTGGTGGAAAATCGGCCCATCACCAGGGCCCCAGACCCAATCTTTCTGCGGCATTTGTCCGGCCGACTCGATCTGTGAGGGCCTCCATCACCGCTGCCCTCCCGCGCGGGCCCCCCTCCGAAGGGGGAGGCGCCGCGCGTCGCCTCCGCGAAAAGCCTCGCTCCCGCCCGCGGTGGAAAGGGGTGGGGTCTCGCTCTCCGCGCCCGGGGCGGCGCGTCGCTCGGCGCGCGCGGGACGCTGTGAGCCGCGTGGAGGCCGTTTCTTGACCCCTGACGGAGCAGTGTGTTTTGAGTGGCCGTCGATCGGGTATCGCCAGGACCCTGGGTGAGGGGACCCGGTAAGTGGCAGGGCCCCAGGGCCCCTCAATTGGGCCAGGTTCACGAAACCAGGATTGCCGTGACCGGTGTTCCTCGGGTGACGGCAGTTCCGGTGAACGGAACGGGGCGGGGGGGGCGCCCCCTGGTACACATCACTAAACCAGGTTCCACTAAACCCAGTTCTGCCAACGCCCGATTCGACCCATTCTGACACCGCACCTCGTTTGGAAGCACAATGGGGGCGCGCATCGAGAAGCCATCTGCTTTTCGTCAGGGCATCCTGGGTTTCTTCGCTCCGCGCACCGCGCGGTGGCTTCCCGCCGCTAGGGAAAGAGCGGCTGCGTTCAGGGTGCTCCGGGTTTCCCCTCAGGTGCACCTCGCGCGCGGGTTTTCAGGGCTTGGTTTCTTGCGAGGGTTTCTTGCGGCCGCGCCCGCACTGTAAGTCAGAGGCCTTTTGGTTGGAAGCCTCTTGGAGGCGGTGTTGGCTTCCTGCGGGCCTTTCGGGGGCCTTTCGGAACCTGATCTGGTCTTGTTGGGGGCTTCTTGGAGCTTCTCGGGGTCTCTTGGGGACCTGCTGGCGGTCACAGGGGTCATCTTCTCGAGTCGTCGGGCTGTGATGTGTGTAAATCATAAGCTCGTGCTAATTACCCGTCGGTCGTTGAACGCGTGAATGTTGAGTGCCCAGGTCCCAATCTACTCTATGCGCGTTCGCATTTCAAGAGTCGAGTGGTCTTCCCCCTTCCCTCCTCCTCACGGGGCGGGCGGAAGCTCAATCTACAATCAGAGCCTTGCGACTTCACGTTTCTGCCCACGTCTTCCGACCGACTGGTGAATCCTGTTAGGATGAGCTGGCTTCGATGAGGTTGGCCGCGCTGCCGCAGGCGTGCACTTAGCCGTACCCATGCCAGCGCATCTCAGTCCTGTCGGTCCAGCTGGATCTGAGTCGATCCATCTCAGTCCAGCGCGCTGTGGTCTCGCCCCGCCGCCCTGGCCGACCCGTTTGCCAGGGGGGGCTCGTGTTATCTCTGTGTCGTTGCCTGTGTCCTCACGTGCACCATCTTGACCTCCGACGAGTAGTCAGAGGATCCGGCTACTCAGGGGTAGAGGATTGAGTCCGCGGCGGCACCAGCTCCAGCAGCTGCAGCGACTCCAGCGCCGACGACATCCCGCAGAACCTGATCGTCGATGGAAGCCGCTGGCATCCTTATCAGCTGTGAGGTGGACGTTCCTAGGAGATGTGAGACGGAACAGACAAGCTTTGCAGGCCACTTGGCATCTCTCGGACGTGTGCTTTTTTTCTCGGCGAGAACCATCGAGGAGCATCCTTGATCATTTGGCGAAAAAACACGCACGAAACCGAACAAAAACACAGGGAATGGACGTCCGAGCGATGGCGAGGCCAACTTGCGCTGAAATGGCGCTATGGCCTCCGAGGTCGAGGCTGGCGCAGCTGAGGTCATGACGCGGCTCTGCAGGCCGACCACGGCGCATGGAATTTTGAGGAGTTGGGCGAGCTCGTCGAGCAGCAAGGTCTCGTTGACCGCGATCGCCGGCTGCTTTGAGCCATCGAACTGCCAGACTTGCGGCGAGGCCTTCGCGGCCAAACAGAGCAACGCTGTCGATGCTGCCGAGAGCCCCGCCTAGGCAGCCAGGACAGGGAGGTTGCGCGCAGACGTTGCAGCAGGCATGCATCTCGGCACGCGGCGGAGCGGCGTCGACCAGCCGCCAGGTCAGAAAGAAACCATGATCAATCGGTGGATCAGCGATCTGGCACCCAAGCAGCTGCTTGGCTGGATTGACGCAAACACGTGCCGTTGGTCGACTCGCCAGCGTGCCAGGCCATCATGGTCCGGAGCAAACCCGAGGCGAGCAGGGGCAGCTCGGCGATTGTCTCATGCAGCACGACTCGAATCCAGAATTTGGCGCCTGGCCAAGCCGTCGAGGAGCGCCGAGGGCCACCGTCGAGAGCCGCCACCGAGGGCCGCCCCTGAGGGCCACCAGAGGCGCCAAAGGGACGCCGTAGGCAACCGATCAGGGGCAACGAGAGGGGGGGGGGGGGACAGGCATAGGGGGAGACGCATCGACCCCCAATCGCCCATCGATCGCCGATAGGGGCCCGATAGCCCCAACCCGCCCAGGAAGGTGCGGATTCACCATCGGGAGCCCATCGCCGATCTATCGGCGATGTATCGCCGATTCCAGATCGCTGCGTCCCCCCGCATGCCCGTCCCCCCCTTATCGTTGCCCCCCAGCCGAGGGCCGCCCTTCCCGGCGGGGTATGCCGAGCGGCAGCAGGCTACAAGAGTGGATCGATGCGCGGAGCGGCGCGGCAGGGCTGCGGCGAGCTGTCCTCTGCGGCGCTCGCGTTCCACCCCAGGCCGGAGGCCGTCGACACAGACGTCTTCGGCCCCCTTGCGTGTGGGCAACAGGGCCATCGCCATCGGCGCAGACGGCTACGGCTCGGAGGATCCAGGGCGCAGGATGCCCGAGGTTAGTGCGCTGGCCATCGTCATGGTTGCCGCTGGCCATAAGGCCGACGAGGCCCTTGGAGCCGAGGATCTGGAGGAGGTTGATCCAGGAGGGGGAGGAGGAGGAGAAGGAGGAGGAAGAGGAGGAGGAGGAGGAGGAGAAGGAGGAAGAGGGGGGGGGGTAGGGCAGGGGGAGGGGGTGGAAGGATGGGAGGGAAGGAAGGATGGACGGGACGGGACGG